AATTGACTAACAAAAAGTAAATTAAAAGGAAAGTCAACAACAAAGACTAGGGGGTAAGGATAATGAATTAGTAGGATGAAGAACATCTTTCCCAAGAACAGTATGGGAAGAACCATCAGCTACAATAGTATGATACTGAACAGACATAATTCAAATCATGATAAAAATAAAAATTAAAAAATTAAAAAAGAAGAATAAGAAGAATGGTGAACTAGCCATGACATATTACCTGAATGAGCTAGTGTAGCAATGGAAGATAAGGGAAGAGTAGTGCACAATGTCTGAGCTAGCTCCCTAATCCGAGTCATGAGAGCATCACAAAAACCAGAAGCAGGGGTTACATGTCTGGATAGAGTAGAATTCAATTGTTGTTGTCTAGTACCATCGCTAATTTGATGTGTATGATCTAACATTCCATTCTCTTTTTCTTTTCTTTTTTTTATTTGGATAAATAAACAAACTTTATTAAAGCAGCATCAAGATGATGCAAAATACAAAAATGGGCCAGCAATAAACTAGCAAATGAATCTAACTTTCCATTCTTTGCCCAACAAAAAGGTTCAGTATGGCTGATGCCACCACAATAATCACACTTACTATCACCACGATTGCCAGTACGGCCATCACAATGAAAATCACAGGTATCTGCGAAATCCACCACGAGATCTATCTGGCCTCCGTTGATGAAAACTAAGGGAAAGGACTTAGGAAAGAAGAACGAGAACCAATCACAATGGGACACTATCTCAATGATGAGAGCAACAATCAATAATAGATATTACCAGTAATAGGTAAGGTCTTACTAGCAAGAATCTGATCTTTAAAACAATGTTGCCTTGGGTTAAAACCTAAAAGCATGGATTGCTTCTGTTGCTCCAAATTAGTTAAACAATGCCTATGTTACAGTAATTGGCCCCATAAATTCTTGACAGTGCCATATTAATTTGGTAAGTATTTTAGTGGTGAAAATCTTCTCATAAAGCTCATAATCCTAAAAGACATTACTTTGATGTGAAAAAGATCATGTAAGAGCGACCTAAATTTTCTTTGAAGAATCACAAAATTCAACAGCAGTAGCAACATGGGGTTCTAAACTAACCACAGTTATCCTATAACAATCGAATCCTCACTCATTCAATCTTCAATTATTGAATCCCCTAATGGAGGAGGATCTATTATATATTTTAGTCTTTGCTTCTTGAAGGAAAACTTTCACTGTGTGCGGCCAGATCCCAGGCTAGAAAATTTAGACCATTCAACCTATATGAGGTAATTGATCTATACAAATCATCATCCTTGAGTGGTAGGGGTGATGGGGAACGAAAAGGAATTGAATGAGAAATTTTGAAGATTAAGATTTTATTCGACTTAGGCATGAATTTAAGAATAATTATGTGACTTGTTTACTCTGGGATTTGATTTCCATGTCCATATTACGAAGCGTGTGGTTAACTTATAAATACTAGAGTTATTATCATTGATAGATGCCTTGGATATTGAAAATATAGCTGAGTTAAGAGATTTAGCATTCTTTTGTTTCTTATGCTTGGCCTTTATCTTATTTTCTTTGCTTTTGTTTACTCCTTGCTCACCAATTGTCTGGATCGGCCATCAAGCACTAGGGGGTTTTCCCTTGGCCATGGCAGATGAATCCAAGCCAAACGAAGTCAAAACCTCAACCAAACAAATGCAATACTAGAGCAAGAACCGAACCGAACCGAAACAAAACAGAACCAAAATCACCAAAAAAGAAGTCAATCAAAAGGTAATTCAAACAAAGAGAAACCAAAATAAGGTCATAACTGAGCAGCTGAATACAAAAAACTTCATGCACCTCAGTGGATCTGCAAAAAACCTCAATCCAATCTTTGCACTAGAATTTTGACACTCATAGAGTCGTTTCCAACCAATGAAAACTATGGATAATGCTCCAAATCGTAGATCAAAAAACAAAGACCAAAAAAATTGAAAAAATATATATAAATAGAAAGCTAACATCAATGGATTCAAAATCTGAGAAAATCACCATAATAATCAAGATAGACAAATTAGGTCAAGTAGTTGTCAAACCTCGGCATGTGTACAAATGGCTAACATAATTGTACGGTTGATGACATTAGCATTAGCAGGTCATTAGCACCCTGTGATAATTTTCAGACACTTTTGACACCTAGGGTTGGATCGTATTGCGCTGATACCAAGTTAAATTGTAAAGTACGAAAATCATGGTTGGGTAAGAAGAGAAGAGGCAGTGAAATATTACATAAATAGGTTTACGGCTTAATCACATTCCTTCTCCTTAACATGTATTTATATTAAAACGGTACAAGATTTAACATGCCCTCATCATAATATGAAAAAAACAAAAAAAACACTCTGACAGTTAGAAAAAAGGCGAGGAGGGAATCAAACTTTCAAAACAAAGCAGAAATGAATATTCCAACGAGGCAAGAAGATAAAAGAAATACGACAACAATGTTCTGTTAGGATATTTAATTAAAAAGCAAATCACTTCATTGGATTGCAACCAATTCAAGACCTATTTTAATAAAGATCATATATTGTAATATACAGAATCAGAAACAATTAACTTTCTCATCCCAAACAATCATTGAAAGGTGAAGGGAGCGGTTTATAACTAAACCTAACCAAACCTTAAGTCCCATCAAATGAGGTCAGTTACATGAATCATATTTCTCTACTCGACTCTATCCAAGGCCATTTTGTTAGTCAAATTAAGGAGGTTCATCTCTCTATTTACTACACTAACCCACTTCAACCTAAGTCTGCCCTTTCCCCTAACACTACCATCTACCATCACTGTATCGCATCTCTTCATTATTGCCTCTGTTGGTTTCCGTTATATAAGACCAAAAACCATCCCAATCTATTCTCTCTCAACTTACCTTCTATCAGTACTACTCCTACCCATTCTCAAATATACTCATACCTAACTCTATCTTTTCTAGTCTTGCCATACATCCATCTTAGCATCCTCATCTCAGCAATACTCATCTTATTAACATGTTTCTTTGTTGCCTAACATTTCGACCCATACAACATCACTGTTCCAATAACCGTTCTATAGAACTTTCCTTTTAGCCTAGTGGGTACTCGCTTATTGCACAGTACCCCAGATGCACTCCGCCACTAAAGCCACCCCGCCTTAATTCTATGAATCACATTTGCTCCAATCTCCTCAGCTGTTGTAATAATCGATCCTAAATAACGAAAATGTTCACTCTTAAGTAATTCTTGGTTCTCAATCTTCACTTCTCTTCTCTTATGCTTCCATTGTTACTGTTACTAAAATTACACTCCATGTACTCTGTCTTAGTTTTGCTTATCCTAAATCCTTTAGATTCAAATATTTCTCTCCAAGTCTCCAACTTAGTGTTAACTCCTTCTTTAGTTTCATTCACTAACACGATATCATCTGCAAAAAGCATACACCATGGCCCATCATCCTGAATATTTTTCGTCAACTCATCCATAACTAAAGCAAAAAAGATAAGGACTTAAGGTTGATCCTTGGTGTAACCCTACAGCAATTGGAAATTCACTTATCTCTCCAAAGAGCAATCTAACAATGGTCACCATACCTTCATACATATCCCTAATCACATTAATGTAACCTTTTCTACCAGATTATATCTCGAGACACTCTATCGTATACTTTTCAAGATCAATAAAAACCATATGAATGTCTCTTTTCTTTGCTCTATGCTTTTCTATTACTCTCCTCAAAAGATAGATCACTTCCATTGTTGACCTACCAGGCTTAAACCCAAATTGCTTCTCTGACACCTCTGTTTCCATCATTCTCTCCCACACTTTCATTATATGACACATTAGCTTAATTTTTTATAATTGTTGCAGTTTTGGACATCTCCTTTATTATTATAGATTAGCACTAAAATACTATCTCTCCACTCCTCTGGCATTGTCCTAGTCAACAAAATCTTGCTAAATAACCTAATCAACCAAGCAACCCTTCTTACCCAACTATTTCCAAGCTTCAATAGGGGTATCAGCGGGTCCTAAAGCCTTAATTCGATTTCATCTTCTTACTATTACTAATACATAGGAAAACTAGTGAATTTATTTTATTTTTGTCTAGTTATATAAATTAATTTTCTTATCCCAAACAATCATTGAAAGGTGAAGGGAGCGTTTATACTATTACTAATACACAGGAAAACATGTGAATTTATTTTATTTTATTTTTTTGTCTGGTTATATGAATACAAGCTCAAACAATTGAAGCCATTTCTTATGTCTTGTGAATACTCTTACTCTTAATACAACCATCTGTTAACCAAAACAGAAAGGAAAGGTAATGTTAATGTAATACTTTGGTTGGTGACAATATTCACTTTATGAGACTGAAGTTTGCCAGAAAAATGAAGATGCGGATGTGATCAATGCATATGGAACTTAATAAACAGTTCCACTTTATGAGACTGAAGATTTCCAGAAAAAAGATGATGCAGATGTGATCGATGCCATATGGAATTTAATAAACAATTCTAACTCGGCTTGCCTATAGCTTTGCATCTGGAAATTTGAAAGTTACAGTACAAATTGTGGTATTAACTGAACATGTTAGTTAATTTATTTTTATTTGTTTAAATATGAAGTGCGCATAATGGACATGGATTAACTGAAAGGCTGACAGTTGTACAACAAACAATACATAACAATAGAAAATAGTTTAGTATTGCAAACAAGGGAATAAAGTGAAGGTCTTTAGATCTCAGATAAACAAGACCAGAAATTAAAGAGTTGAATGATAGTAAAGTGTTCTCACAAACTGAGCAAAACATGCTTTAGCAGGTAAGCCATCAATAGGGATTGTAAAAAGGAGTGAATGCTGGTCTATAGTTTTTTAAAATTGTGCAGAATTCACTAACCAAGGCTTCTCTGGGCCTCATGAGATGCTTTCACCACCTATATGACAAACAAGGATCAATGGAGCCTAAAGTTGGTTCCTGAAGAGATCATGCAAATCGCAACAAAATGTTTTCATAATGTGCATTTAGCCATATGAGATTCTTCGCTAACATCATGGCCCTATGAGATTCTTCGCTAACATTATGGCCCTGAAGTATTTGGAATTAGTCAAAGCAAGACAAAGTTGATTCTCACAATCATTCTAGGAAAAGGCAAACCATACTACTAGCGTTTCAACTGTCTTGCAGTCTACTTGTATTGATGTTGGACCTTCTTATAGAAACTATGTGAAGTGCCGGTATTACTCACATTGGCAGGGAAAATGTTTGTTCTTATGCTGTAAGTGTACCTCCTCTGGCAAGAAAAAGAAAAACGAAAGGAAATCACAATCATTTCTCTATTAGACGTAATTGCCATAAGGACTATTCTGATAACTTTACTGGATACAGATACTTTCACTCTATATCTAGTTCAGGCATCTTGAGACGGGGACATAAAATGTTGAGAGCTCCACTGGCAGGGTAAAAATTTGATCCTTAAAAGGTCTAGTAAAAGAGCAACTGTGCTACTACTATCATATCAAACCTTTAGGCATAAATGCTTTGAAACAACTTAACTAAATTCTCTAATCCACAAAAGAAATGTTACTTGTTTGAAAATTATACTGCCATCAATATCATATTGGTGCCACCAGAAAACATAAGAATGCTCACCTACCAGGGTTGCTGACCTTATTTTCCTTTATTCAACTTTCGTGGTCTTCCCTGACCTTGGCGCTTGGCTTGCTGCAGCTTCTTTTCTGAAGGAAACACATTTTGCATTGTTGTATCATCAGGTATGTACTTACGAGGTCTCCCACGACCACGTGGAGCTGGCTGCTGGTGTTCATGTTGATTCTGATGATCTGATGGTGATGATTCCACTACAGTTGAAGTCATATCAGATTTTCTTTCAAGAGGTCTCCCTCCATCTTGGCAATCCAGTTGTTGCTGCTCCTCATGCTGATCTTGCACAGGCTCTGATTGTGCTGTAGTTGTATCTGTAGTTGCTTCAGATTTGGGGCACCGAGTCCGTAATTTCATATGTTGTGGATTCTCCTGTGCCTGTTTGTCCTGCTGCTTCTTTGCTCTTTTAGGACTTGGAAACACTGGTTGCTGTTCTGGCTTCCACAGTAAAGCCAAGAGTGAATCAAGAGAATCTGTTCGCGTTTTTTGCTCAGATAGCATCTGCAGACCACTGGGTTTTGGTTTCTTCTGCCCTCGTTGAATTAATTCCTCTGATGGTTTCTGTTTTAACTCCTGCAGAGTACCCATATTCGGAAGTTTTGCTGTAGCTTGTTCAGGTTTTGGAGGCCGAGGCCGTAATTGTCTATGCTGTGGCTTCTCTTGTTTCTGCTTGCACTTCAGCTTCTGTGCCCTTTCTGCATTTGGAAGCTCTGGTGGCTGCTTCTGCTCCAACTTCTGCGGAGCAATGGGCATATTAAAATCTGTTATTATCTTTGGCTGGGACTTGATCTGCTTTTGCCCACCAGAGAGATTTGCTTGTTGCTCTGTTGTTTGAGTTGATTCCTCTACTTGTGTATGTTTTATCTCTGGAGGACTTTCTTCAATTTGAAGCTCAGGCTCCTGATATTGAAACTCTGAGGGCAACAATTCCGTAATGGATGTAGTTGGTGGTTTAGACTTGGATGTACTTTGACACCAACGCTGTAGTTGCCTCCGCATCCTCTCAGTTTGAGATGATTGATCCATTGTTGCCAGATTCAGCTCTATGGGTCTCCCTGGAACTGAAGCATCTGGTTGCTGCTCAGGATATTTTGGTACATCAAGAGCAGCTGTCACTGCTTGCTGCTTCTCTGCCCTGGAAATTGTCTCCACTGTTCTAATTTCTAGCCGTTGACACTGTACTGAATTTGGAAGCTCTGCTAGCTGCTCTGAATTCATGGGTAGATCCTGTGTTCTCGCCGTTTCGGATTCGGATCTGGTCATCTTTCTTTCACCATGCTGCTTTACTCGCTGGAACAACTCTGTTTGAGATGATTGTTCCATTGTTACCAAATCCAGAACCATAGGCTTTTCTGGAACTGAACAATCTGGTTGCTTCTCAGACCAGTCGGGCAGATCAAGAGAAGCTGTCAATGTTTCTGGCCCTGAAGACCTCCCTGTGTTTGGAAACTCTAGTTGCCGACTGGAATTCATGGGTACATCTTGAGTTATAATTGCCTCTGGCCTGGATTTGGACTGCTTTTTTTGACCACGCTTCTTACCTTGCCGCTGCTGCATCATGGCTTCCGTCGTTAGTTGTTTGTGTTCAGATTGCCTTTGATTTTGATGCCGTAGTTGCCTCTGCTCCTCCAATATCTGCTGCAGTGTGGGAGAAAATTCACCAACTCCCCCCTTGGTTGTCATTTGGACATCCAAAATTCTTCCAGAATTTGGAAGATCCAGTTTACACTGCTCAGGTGGCTCTGAATTCAGGGGTAAGGCAAGAGAAGTTGATGTCATTGGAAGGGGCTTGCATGTCTTTTCTTGGGCACAGAGTTCTAGAGGCCTTCCTGAATTGCATAATTTTGATTGCTGCTCTTGCTCAACCAATTGTGGGTCTGCAGCTAATTTTACAAATGTTACTGATATTGCATGTGGAAAAAAAAAAAAATACATTAAATATTTTGAATAAAAGAAGAGGCAACAATGTCATCGTTGTACCTGGAGGCTCCAATGGATATGGATACTCATGTTGCTGCTCCACCTGAAGCTGCAGTACACTCATAGGCAAACCAATTTGAACAAAGTTTGGGATTCTTCTGTTGACAAGAAGAAAGTGGAGACCCTTCTGGAAGTTGCTGCTCCTGTAAGCCGGACAATTCCTTAACTTTCACTAAATTAAAACCTGGAGGCCTTTCAAGGCTTGGAGACTTGGGTTGGTTCTGTTCTAGATGCTCTGAATCCATAACTTGCCCTTCTAGCTGATTTTGTTCTTCAATCAGAACACTTTGTTGCTCTTGCTCTCGAGCACATAGCACATTTAATTCTTCAATGAGATCACTGCGTGGTTCTTCTGTTACATTCTGCTCTTCAATCAATTGATTATGTTGTTCTTCCACTTGGTCTTGTCCTTCCATCTGTTCTCCTGCTGGTTGATTGTTTTCTTTAATCTGAACCTTTCTACGCCGCCTAGCTCGGCCCCTTAATTTCTTCTCCTGTCGCTTCCGCATCTGCTGCATTATCTCTCTCTTACAACTAGAATAAGGGCCAGAATTAAGGCTGGTGATTCCATCAGCAACCAAATAACATTCGTTACTTGTCACAACAATCTCACCACTCTCACAAAGCTTCTGCAGATGATGCTTTAGTAAAGTGAAATGAGCCCAAGGCAAATCATCATACCGCTTCCTAATGAACTCTGATATGGACTCCTCAGTAGAACCCTCTGGTTCCTTCAACTCCATTATTGCCCTATATATCATCTGCATTACAAAGCACCACAAAAAGCTGAATCTTCACCAAATTAATGTGCATGTACATATTTTTTAACCCTCAACCATTGCTAAGCAAAAGAGAGAGCCTGAAAAGCAGCACAAACAACAGAAAGCAGAAAGTAGAAAATAGAAAACAGAAAACAGCCACAAAAATGTAAAACTAAATCAAAACACATACGGAAAAACAACTAGAACAATTGAAGCTAGGGAGTCCAAAAGAGAGCTTCTCTGAATGGCTGTTGAAGACAATCACGATCCAGAGATCCTGACAAATTCATAGCTCACTGAGAAGCCACAGTTAGAACTCCATTAACCCCCGCCTTCCATGAATGCTTTGAAAGCATAAAAGTGAGCATTGTTCTCAATACGAGAAATGGATATGATGGAGATTAAGGTCTGATTGCAGAATGAATTACCATTTCTGTGATCCCTACCAAATAACATTCTTAGCATCCTCTTTCTGAACACAAATTGTAGCCTGATGCACTGCTTGAGCTTTGCAACCAAACTAGAAGCACTAAACACTTTGGCCCCGTTTGTTTGCCCAAATTGGATAGCCCAGATAAGGAATTCCCGAACTTAAAGTCCAGGGATAACTAGTCCCGAAGATTAGTTATGCTTTGGTCATGAAATAAAACTTACTTTTTGCTCATTTTTTTTCCTTTAAAAAAATGTCATAATTGATCTTTGTTTAAGGCTAAAGCTACTTGCATGGTTGCACCCATGAATTATCTATTGTTATTTTGATGAAATAAACTTAGTTTAGGATCACATGGGTAAGGTCAATCACACCCAACGGTTCCACAATTGTTTTTTTTTTTTTTTTTTTTTTTAATAATAAGCATACGTACTTTTTAAAATGTTTTAGATTGTTAAAATAAAGGACAAAGGTAAGGTCGATTAAATGTTTTAGTCTTTCTTCTTATTCTACTCTATTTAAGGTTTATAGTTCCATTTTAAAATTTCAAAGTCAATATATTATAGTTTTTAAAAAAATTTACGATGTGTGTGATTTGAACCTATATCTCTTGCCATGAAGACCATGTCTTCCCAATTAGACATTAGCCCAGTTTGGTAGCATTTATAAGTCAATTTATTTAGCTGACTAAGAAAAGTTGACTAATGGTGTTTCATTACAATTTTAGATTATAGCTTTTTTAACTATTTTAGCTTGTTTAGCACCAAATAAATAAATAAATAACTAATAAAATTCTTAAGCTACAATTTGTAGCTTTTTTTTTTTTTTTTTTTAGCTTATTTGAAAACCTTAAATACATATATGGATAAAAGAGTCTCATTTCTTTTGCCCTAATTAAAACTTTTGAGGGCATTTTGGACATTTGAACAACAATAAAGCTATGTAACAACTTATTTAACTAAACAGGTTCAACTCTTTATACAAATTATGAAAAGTTGCATCAAACAAATTTATAACTTATTTTAAATCTTTTAAGCCAATAATCTAAAAAGCTATAATCACAAAAGTTAATTTATAAGTGGTACAAACGGGACCACTGCAATCATGTCCTTGTATAAAAACTATTGTATAACATATGCCAAAAACAATTTATTTTATTTTATTTTCATATATACAATTGTTTAACATCATTTTTATAGTTTGTGCTTAATCATACAATTCTCGATTCGATTAACAATTTCCAAAAATTAGGTTTTTGATTCACAATTTGATTATCGATTTGACAACTACCATCTAACAACTTGAATAAAATGAGAAACCAATACAGCAAGTAAACCCAAACTTCATGAAATGAGAAATTTTAAAAAAAATGGCAAAATAAAAGCTAATAACTTTAATACATCATATAAGAAATAAGTAAAATAAAATAAAAAACCCACAACATAAAAAAAATCACATCAAAGTAACATTTCACAAGGAATATGAAAATGAAATTATGAACAAAAAAGCCATAAAATTAAATCACAGAGATTAACAAAGACATTAAGAAAAAAGCCAAATAAAATACAAAATAAATAAATAAATAACAACATGTTAAAACCTATCACCTACTTCACCCACTTAAACCTACTCCAATAAACCTAACCCACTACACCACTACCACCTCACCTACTCCACTAAACCTAACCCACTACACCACTACCACCTCCACTTCACCTACTCCTTACCTACTACACACTCACCCTCTTCTATATATAGGAATCATGAATCATTGTAAAAAATACAACATTAATCAATATCAATCAATAATACAATTCTCTATTTCTTTTTTTATACATTCAATTTCTACAACATAAAATTTAAAGATAGTGCTCAGATTATTGATGCCATACCATACAAGACAAAGGTAAGGTCGATTAAATTACAAAAATAAAAAGGGTAAATTACACTTACCTCCCCTGAGGTTTAGCATAATTGTAGGAACCTCCCTTGTAGTTTGAGAAATTACTCTAATCTCTCTTACTTTTGAAACTAATATATAAACACCCCCTTCTATTACCCATCCGTCCAAAATCAAATAGATTATGCTAATGTCATCCATAATTATTCTACAAATCCCAATACTACCCTTCAGCTACTTAGCATATTGAAATAAATTACACTTACCTCCCCTGCATATATATATAAACACATACATACCTATATATGCACATATAAATATCTAGTATATATATATGAATCATGTTATAATACGCATTCTCAAAATAGTGTACCATATGCAAGTTATGACATTAGTGGTGTTCATAACTAAATCTTTTTTAGTCATAATTAAATGCCACATAAAGTATAATTAAAGACCTTTGGGATCATAACCAAAATAATAATTACAATAGATGATAACCAACATCACAATGAGTCATAACTAACACCATAATGAGTCATAACCAAGCTATAATTAACACCACAATAAGTCATAACCAAATATCACAAATGTCATAATTGGGACATATGATCCTATATATATATATGTGTGTGTGTGTGTGTGTGTGTGTGTGTTAACTTTTAAAGCTAAATGACTACATATATATATTCTATTTTTCTTTTTCTTTTTCTTTTTTTTTTCATATGTTTTTCTACACTATCTCTCTTTATAGAAACTCTTTCTACCCTCTTTCTCCTCAACAATTCATAGGTAGGGTTATTGATAACAACCAATGCATAATCCAATTCCATTGTCAAATAAATTCTCCAAACCTCATCAACAATTCAACACACATATATATACACACAAATAAATTCCCCCATTCTTAGAGTAAATTTTGGGGCTTTTTAGTCTTTGAGTTGATCAGTTACAATTCTTGCTATAGCTATAGAAGAAAAAAGAGAGAGAAGATGGGTAGTGATCTATGGTTGCTGAATTATGTTTAAAAAAAATAAAAAAAATTGTGGCTGCAAAATAAATGAAGAAGAACCGAGGGTAAATTAGTCATTTTATTATCAATATTGTTTGAGCCAAAGTTAACCCAAGGGGAAATCTTGATATTAGTTTCAAAAGTAAGGGAGGTTAGAATAATTTTTCAAACTACAAGGGAGGTACCTGTAATTATGTTAAACCTCAGGGGAGGTAAATGTAATTTACCTAAATAAAATAAAAATTGCAAAGCCATGATATGAATATGGTAGATAAATTAAAAAACAAATAGTAAAAGTCAGAAACAAAACACAGAGTCTGTTATATCAACACTCAAAAAATAGTTGATATCATATAAAAAGGCAAAGCTTTTTTTAAAAAAAAATGCACATAAATGATATGTATATGGTATGGAAACCAAAAAACAAATGGCAAAATCATATATATATATATATATTTTATACCAACACCCAAAAACATTCAATCATTGCCTCCACACTACATACCCAAACCTATATATATTTAACTCACAGTTGAGAGGTGAAGATGGATCAAAACAAAGGCGAGACTCACAATGGAAGAAACACAATAGTTAATGAGGACATCGATTGTCGAGATAGATTAATCCTATGGAGACAAGAGGTGTACCCAACTATTGGAGGTGAATGGATGGTGAACTGCCATTGAAGAATGACGCGATTATAGTTTCATACTTTCATTGGGTGTAGGCACAAGAGGGGACTTATGAATCACCCTCAACGAATTAAGTATTTTTCAACCAGCCACCAACCTACCCATAATCAAAATCAATACGTTGGTTTAATATTTGAAAGTTTCAAACCAACAGTTTGAGCAATTTAGGCGGGTTAGGCTTTCGAACCGGAAGGGGTTAGATTGGATTTTAAATCTATAGGGGATGTGGGCTCTAATACCCTTATATCAAAAGATTCTATTTGAGTGTTCTAATT